TCGAACCCTGGACCCTCAGATTAAAAGTCTGATGCTCTACCGACTGAGCTATCCAGGCGATGGTAATCACGGGTTTACTTATTCATTCCTAGTATAATTAAATTTTTATAAAATATAATTTGTATAATTTTTTTGTTGCAAAAATATAATATTCATTGATAAATAATATCCCCTAACCTGCCCATTCTATGCCCAAGTGGTCCAAAAAGATTAGTTCCGATTAAATAACTAATGCTTGCCGGCAGAAACGTAGCACCTTGTTCCCATCTACTTGCACACATCGTATCCATCATCCAAATTGGAAGACTGGGCTCAAGCATAGCGATACCCATATTGGCGAATGTTATTGCGCCTGAAATACGAAATTTTCGATTGATTATTGAACTCATTGCTGCCGTTGAATTATTTCATTTAATGTATAATTTTTATCGAATTGATAAATGAAATTTAACTTTTCTTGACAGTATTTTAAACGTAACGAGACAGGAAGGAACGATATACATAAATTTTCAAATAATATTACATCAATATACATTAAACAATTATTGACTTAAATTTTGAAAGACCGCATCAACCTCGTGTTCATAATTCATTTAACGGTTAATAATTATATATACCAGCGGCCAAAACGATATAAGGATCGGTGATGAGTGTTTTTAGCGATGGTGGATCCGCTTCAGTGTATACGACGGACGGTTGAAGCACCAAAAGTTGTAAAACTGTGGAATGATACCAAGCAGAAGAATAAAAGAGCAAAGGCAAAGTAAGAAGTAAAGTGATCATAAAATGTAAAGCTATGCAGATAGTTACTTCCATCACCAAGTGCCAAAGCAGAAAGTATCAAGAACGGAGCAGATTTCCCAACGAATTCGTACATTACACCGCCGAATGGTGGACCTATGAGAACACCAAGGGCCAATCCACCGAGCGCGATACCCATTGCGTTTCCACGCTCTTTGTCATCTTGGTATCTTTCAGCCAGCATACCCATACCTGTCATTATATCGTACTCGAATCAATTAAAACTTACATTTATTATTATTATTATTATATTATTATTATCATCATTATTATCATTATTATCATTATTATTATTATTATTATTATTATTATTATCTTTTGAATCTCGTAATTAACATACAAAAGGAAAATTAAAAAAATAAAGAATTTACCAGATACGCTCGAGCACGACGAACCAATACCTTGAAGGGCTCTTGCTAAGAAAAGAATGCCGTAACTTCGTCCAAATGCGAATATCAAAGTGGAAATGAACATAATAATGAAACCGGTGAACATAGGTATGCTGTAACCGATCCTGTAAATAAACGTAAACGGTGTAATTAAAATAAAATGAAAAGATGAAGATACGGATAGATATGTGAAGAAGAACAGATATCACGTAGTAGAGTAAAAAGTTGTGAAGTTTACTTGTGGGTAAGGGGGCCGACGATCGGATTTGCCAGCAATTGAACGAAAGCCTTCGAGGCGAACATTATACCAACGGCAACCGTTTCCTGAAGCAACTCGCGGTGTCGTTGTTTTTCCTCCGATTCTATCGTTGTACCCGTTTCGCCGCTGCTCGTGGTCCCTGGAAAATAATTAATATTGAAATTTTTATCAATCGTATTGGAAAATGAAAAAAAAAATGAAAAATGGGTTTTCTCTTACCAAGCAAACCCATCGTCGTCGACTCGATGCTAGACGGGGATGTGCTCGGGTAAAGAAATTCCAATTGAGAATCATTCGTTTTGGTTGTCGAAGCGCAAAGGCATTTCGGCGTGGTTGTCACACTCGGGCTCGTGGAGGTCACGATATTGATACTCGTTGGATGAACACCGGTGACCGTTGCTCGTCCACTTTGTTCGAAATGTTGGCTCAACGTTGCATTCGGATGCTTGATATCGTACAGAAACTCTGGTATAATTGGAACTGTAAACACGTTCATATATATTATATATACGTGCTAAGAGGGATGGAAGAAAACCCGAAAAGAAAACTAAAACGTAAAAAATTATCGAAGATATTAATAATTAATCGTAATTAAAAATTTTGATCTCTAATAGCATAATAACGTGTTTTATGGATCTATCTTACAGCTC